ACTATATATTAAGAGGAAACAACAATTACTGTGCTCTTGTGTGAGCTATATTGGGCTAACTATATTTATTAGTTTTAATTGCTGGAAAAACAGCTGAATATACTTAAATAATGCTATAGTAAATGAAATAGTTTAGTATAGCTGAAATATCATGGTTGAATATCCCATAGATTACACTTTAAGTGGTCACCATTTTTTAAAAGACAAAAATAAGAAACAATATTCCCTGTATTTTCCCAGTTTGTAAAGAAAAAATCAAAATTCCCTGCATTTTCCCTGTTATTTTAGGTGATTTTTAAATTCCCTGTATTTTCCAGGTTTTCCCTGTTCTCCCTGTGGAGTGGCAACCCTGTTTACTCGACGGCTTAAATCAGATTTCTGATGCATCGCCTTGAATGAAAGTCGCTGTATCGTCTTGCTGATATATGCGTTAAATCGATATGTCTCGATACATCGATTTATAGCCCAGTCCTAATCATGACATTACATGACAAATTTTGTTCAATACCGAAATTCATGACTTTCCAGGTGCGCGGATACCCTGCTTATGACAAAAAACAAGAATTTAAAAGCTCATCTATTGACCAGCATTGTTGGGACTCTAATCATAATTTTCCTTCTTCTAAAGTCATTCAAAATTGTTCTTCAATTTTTGATTCAGATTTTTACGAGTCTTATCATATTTTCAAAAATTCGAAACTGTTGGTCAATGACCTATCCAGCATTCCTTCTCTTTCTCCTGTTTGGAAATCTATGATTAAGGCTGAGGGCAGGCTTCTTTTGCTTTCCTCAGTGAAATAGATATCCCACAATTACAAATTGATAATTTGTAAGCTACAAATCGTTTGCGGTCGCCCCCTTTTACATGGTGGACGCTAGAGGAAGGGGGTTTGAACGGCGAGAGGAGCACTCGTCTGGTCAGCAGATGGGGAGATAAGGAGTGATAGATTTAAATGACCCCGCCCGAGGAGTCTGTCGAGGCACACGTAGGCACAAGCCATTTTACATGCAGAAAGGTAGACCCCCTGGCCGGCTGTGGTCAATGGCGCGTGGCATCCATGTCTAATTGGTTGATACCCATGTCTAATGAGGGAGGGCTTTCCTTCAACTTTGCGAGGTTGCTCTCTCCGTAAAACTAACTAACCACCTTTTTGTTCCTTGCTTCCTATTCGTCATCCATTCACCCTTCCCTCCTATTGGCCGTTGCTCTAAACTCTTTTGTGACGCCACCTTTTTCTATATTTACCCTGTTTTCTCTCATTTCTTTCTGTTGCACTGATGAAGGTTGCCCTTTGAGCATCCGAAACAGCTGTCTGTATTTTATAAATATTTTTGTGCTCTTTAACATTGTTTGCCTTAGTTTGTATTTTAGCACAAAGGTTGCCCACTTGTGTATTTATTACTTGCTAATGTTAATGCTATTACGCATTCTGCTAAATCTTTATATCTCTTTGTGCGTATATGATCATTTATATTGTTTTTACTGTCATATGCTATTTTAAAATGTAGTCCACAAATATTACAGAACACATAGTGCTGCAATTTGTTGAACTTTGTTATGCAAGGAAAGCTTTTAAAATAAGATTTTAAAAATATCTGATTGTAAATTTTGGGAGGCATTGTTAACAAAATCACACAGCAATCAATATGCACCAAATCATAAACACAAATAACATTACAGTTGCCAAACAGTGCTCTTAATCTAGAAACTCTGTGACCTTGGGGTAAAGTTAGCATAGTTTATAGATCAATATTGCTGGTCATATGATCACACACATCAGAGGTTCTACTGATCTCGCCAAGGTGTATATCTTCCCTCATTGATTACAGATTGTTTGCTCATCCTCACATGATTGGTATTCAATACTTACTTGTCTGGCACTCATGTTTGTAGTTATGAGTATCATAATTGGTATTTATAATTTTGTAAATCTTTGAATTTCTGATTTAAATAAGCATGTTGTTAATTTTATTTTTTTCCTCTTAAAAAAAATGCAAGAATTGTGAATAAACAAAGAACCGTACGATTTTAACACTTGACCATATTATTGAGTAAAAAAACCATATACAGTGTGGAAAAACTGCAAAAGTCGGCAGGTATGAATTTATTACTCAAAATGTAATGTTTCATACATAAATAATGCTTTCCGTAGGATGGAGCCTAAGAGACACGTTTAAGAGAATCCAACTATACAACCTTTAAATAATGCAAATTATTTTTAAATTTGTAAAAACTATTTCAACCTTAATTTGAATTTTGGGTTATTTATAGAACACTTACATTAATCAGTATTTATAGTACACTTACATTAATCAGGTCATTTAGTTGGATGGTTGGCCACTTAGTCTGTCCTTTTTCTATTAATAATCATAATTATAGCATATTTTTTAAAATTAAAGTTTAGCATACTTTTAAGGGAACAATAGAAAAGCCAAACTTGGAGTTTTCTTAAAGGTTTGAAAGTAATAAATAACAAAAAATAAAGTAAAGTAGAGAAAATTATAAAGAATAGAGAAGTAGTAAGAAATTATAGAGAATACATAAATTATAATGAAAAACATATATATAAAGTTTAAAGTAATTTAGTCTAAAAAAGATCTTCAGAGAATCGCAAATTGTTTGTAATGGCTAAGAATCGCAAATTGTTGTAGGAACTGCGTTGTGAGAACAGGGATGCCACAAGGTGCCCTTGACTTTCAAGTCTAATTTAAAATTATTAATAATTTGTTGCTATTAAAAATGTTTTAAGATAGAGTTGAAAGAGTTTTTGATACCAAGAGTATCTTGTCCATCTACAGTGAGGGTTTGCATCAAATTTCATTCAAATTGCTACTCTTCATGTGAGAAAAGCAGAGCTTTCAGTAATTGCTGATATAAAAGCAGCTATCACCCCATAAATATGGAAAAAGATTAAAGAGTATTTATAAAAAGCTTTATTCCCTCACTCAAAAAGTTATGTTATGAGCAACATGCTGATTCATCACAATAAATTATATTCCTTCCACATCCACTTTTGAATGTAGATAGTAATTTTTCTTCCTATTATTTAAGCTTTTAATATAATGTATTATTTCTTTTTATTAATTAAAAATAAAGTTCCAGCCTGTATTTATTTCTGACATAATATTAAGATATTCATAACCTCACCAGTTACATCCATAGTTTCTGTTTCTTAGTCGTACACATATGAAGCATATAAATATCAAGAATTATATCAATATTATACTACAGACAAATATCACATGAATGGGGTGCCATAACTGGAAATATATTTGGGAAAAAATATGCTAAAATGTAAAAAACAATTAAGCAGAGCTATTTTGAAAACTAAAAGACATTATAGAATAAATAAAAATAAAGCATTCCAATAATATGTTCTTAAAGTAACTATTATTCCAAAAAATGTAAATACTTTAGAAATTTTTCATAGCAAAAGATACCAAAAAAAAAGAAGAAAAACAAGAAAAAATGAATTATTTTGTAAAACAGACAGACTCTTTGGTATTATACCCTTAACAGTGTTAATGACTTAGCACCAACAAAGGTATTTCTGTACAGTATTGCTTCATAAATTTGTTTATTTTTGCATATTACTTCCAACACAAAGGTAAGTTTACTTGTTTTTTTAAAAAAAAGTAACAATTTAAAATTTGTGAACACTTTTTCTTAAATACACATGAGCTTTGTCAAGAAAGGAAAACAATACAATTATTGAACTTACCTGATTATAGTGCAATAAGTTTTTTTTCTTTCCATAGTCATACTTAAGAAACTTTTTAGAATTAACCATCTGAAATCGAGTATGAATATCTTCATTACATGTTTTAAAAGTTTTAGAATCAAAACATAAAACACGTTGAAATAAAATAAAAATAGGAGTAGTTCTCACCACAATTTAAATCAGAGCATTAGAGTAATTAAAAAAGTACACTAAATGCATTTATAACATTGTAGCAAAAACTTCAAATACCTAGTCAAATACAGAATCTATAAAATACGAGATTGCTAGAAATGGGTCCTACTGCATGAACCATATTATTTACATTTCTTAAAATGGAATCAAAATCGTGTTGCAGCTAAAATTTTTTAATGAAATAAATCATGAAATTTAATATAAATAAGAATACATTTAAATAGAAAAATATTGTGATGCTAAGTTTTAAATCAGTATAGAATGTCAATTCTAAATAAAAATTTATAAATCTTTAGTCCATTAAATTACAGAAATTATTAATTAGTTCATAAAAGTGTAACTCAAATTTCAGTACAGTGAAACCTGAGTCAGCTGACCACGTGTGGTGTGTTACTTTAGTAGACCAATGTGGATGGTCAACATATAGAAGGAAACAAAATATTGTTTTTCTATCATTTCTCACGTCATGTATTCTTTTTTTACATATTTTCCATCAACACATACATAAAATTAAATTTTTTAACGTGATTTAAAAATTTTAATTAGAAAAAAACCATTATATCTAAAGAAATGAGGTTAATAACAATTTAATATGAAAGAGATTAGTTAAAAAAAAACAAGCAAATATAACATGCATAGTTTGTTACTGATGCATACAGTTATTATAAATAATTTCATAAAACATTGGAGCATAAAAAAATATATGATTAGAAAACTTAACATTCCAACACTTCAAAATGTTTTTTATTTTCTATTTGATGCATTTCATGTTAAAGTTTTTTACAATTCTTATATGGTCTACTCACTAAGGAGTTTTAAGTTGAATTTTAATACTATTTCAGAAATTCAAACACAAGATAGGCATTCAGGTTACAAAGGCTTTGTTCCCTATTATAACATAGGATAAATTTGGTTCTTGATAATAGAGGTCAACTTGATAGGTTTCACTGTAGTATCATAGCTTAAAAGAAATATTTAAAAACATAGTTTATAGTGAAAAAAGAGAATGAAGACTAAATAAAGGTAGGTAGGTACTTTATTTACATCGCACTAGAGCTGCACATTGGGCTATTGGCCTGAGAAACATCCCTGAGGATGACCCGAAGACAATTTTGATCCTCTGCAGAGGGGGCGACTCCTCTGCTTTGGTAGCCCGACAACCTGTGCTTGAAGTTGAGCACTTTACGGTAAAATAGTTTAACGAGGACCGATACCGTGCACCCTTGTCCCAGGCTGATCAAAGTGGTCACCCACTTGCTTACTGACCATAGCCAGTGATGCTTGACTTTAGGGTTCTACTAGGAACTGTGTTTTTACGATCAGTTCAAGAATGAAAGTAGAATGATAAATAGAACTGAGGTAAAACTATTTACATTTCTTGCATTTTGAAGCTTAAGTCCTAAAGTGTCACTTTACAAGAATACTAGAATAAAACGTATACGACCAGGATATAGAAGGCTGTATTTGGTGAAGAAAAATATATAGTTTTTATTCTTAATTCTTTGCAATTTATATTGACAAAAAAATAAACATTTTAAATAGCACTTAGTGCCTTATAATTTAAGTTCTTCATGGAAAGAATTCCAGAAGAAATCCAATTCTGGTTCAGCATAAAAATTGTAACACAATCTGAATTTAAACTACCTGACCATAGTGAACTACGCTTCTCGTTGAAGATCCAGCAGGGGTGTGATGAACATAAACACCAAGCCTAGTCTAAATAAAAAACTAGAGTTCAATATAATAGTTATACTAAATGGAATACTGATTTTATTAAAAGGAATTAGAATTTTTACACAAACCTTATTCAGTTGAGAATAATCAGTTCCACAAACAAGAAAAATAACATCTTCACAAACGAATTTGAGCTTTGTATCACACACAAGCTGGCTTAGCCATTTCATGAATATATCATTTGGTAAGAATTCGTCCCAGCCAACAAGTTCAAAAAGAATCTAAAAATATGATAAATCAAAATCAAAAATGCAAGTGATTTTAATAAAAACGAATAATTATTTATTTTAAAATCGCTTACATCTAATTCTTTTGTAAGAGGTGCAATATATCGAATGGCAGTAGTTATGTAACCAACTGTAGTGACAGGGGCTAAACCAATAAATAGTTTCACCTAAAAGGAAGAATACAATAAAAAAACACTTATTAATGATAAACAAACATATTTTAAAACAATAAATAATTTTAAACATTAAAAATACATATTTATTATAATCTACCTAATCAAGTTTCAAAATCCAGACATGACTTTTAAAAAATAGAAATAAGTGCTTCCTTTAGGCATGTAAAGACCATGCAAATTCTTAAAAGTTTGGTCACAAGGAAATTTAAATGAAAAATGAAAAGTAAAAAAAAAATATATATANAAAAAAAAAATATATATATATATATATAATAATGATCCCCATAAATGCGCTCTTCTTATCTTTTTTGTAAAAATAGGCCGCCATCCCTTAAAAAGTCTTTTTTTATGAAAAGGTTTTTTCTTAACCACCAGTTTTAAGGAAAAGTCAACTTCTGATTTATGAAGTTACTAACAATTATTTTATTTTAATTTCATTCCTTCATTTTAGTAAAATTTATCTTGTGTTGTCTAGTTATACAGCTAAAATTAGCACGATATTTGTCCCCAGAGATATTCACATCTCTTATTTGGAGGTAGGTGGCTTTTTAATGAATTGTTTAGTGATATCAAACTTTACCATAATTTTTTTAAAATACCTTTAATAATGTTTACTTTCCCATAATTTTCAGGTTAAAAAAAGCTTTAAAATAGTTCATTAATTAATCCACTTTTTTTTTAAAATTTACTTCTTTTTTGAAAAAATGTATACACAGAGATTGTCTTTGTATGTATACACAGAGAGCTTTCCTTTAAAATTATTTTTCGAAAGCTTCGAATTTTTCCAATGAGTGAGAATTACTTTGTGAAATATACATGTAAAATAGTAATTTAAAAATTGGGGATCAAATTCAGTTATTATATAATATTACATATTTTGTTAAATTTTAATAGTTGTAAATTCAAGACTCAAAGACCATTTCAAAACTCAAAGTGCCCTCTCTTTTGAGGAAGCACCATGCCCTTTCCTATTCTTAGGAAAAACTATGTCCTTATGCAGTATATTTAGCTAACTCATAAAATTGTCATAAAAAGAAGCAGTTAAAATAACTTCTTTGTTATACATTTCTGTTTGAAAATAAAATACTGAAATAACGGTTTAGGTAACAGAGGTGTTTATATATTTAAGTCTTCACTTGCCCACCTCTCAACAATGCGCCACCAGTGGTGATACATTAATCTTTTATGAAAATTATTGTGGTGACTCACCACAATAATTTTCATCACAGATTAAGTATAAGAAACAGATTAAAATCATTTGCATAAGGTACTTCTACCAAAATAAATTTAAGCCAAATAATTTGCAAGCATCTGTGTTTTTAGTTTGAACCACCCACTAAATCAACATGATATTCTCGTCAGTTATGATCCATAGAACAAAATTTGAAGAGTCTAGCTCATTTATAATTAAAACAAAGGTTTGAAGGCAATTCATTTTTTAAAATTAGGGAATGAGGTGATATTTTTGAAAACGTGTCATACCATCTGAGCATCTATTTCCATTTGATCAGACTTTTGGTATGGAAATTGTATGAACAATATTATACAAATATATGAAACAAAGACTATTATGACAATAACTGCAAGAAATAATAGTTGCTATTAGAAAGTTTCTCAAAGGTATTTCCACATGCACTTTTGAAAGAGAATTTGTTAATAATTGAGTTATATATATATATTTCTGTATAAACCATAACATCTTTTATCTTCATTTAGTTTTTAGAAACATTAGTTAGTCAAACTCAATTTCACTGGAAAATCATCTTTTAAGCATTTTGCTCCTTGAGAAAATTTTCTTACTTTTCTCTCATTTTTAATTAAGGAAAAAAAAAACAAAAAGGGCACCAGACTATAGTTCAGAAAGAGCTGGTAATTAAGCTTAAAAAAAACTAATTCACAAACTTATAAGTTGCTAAACAGCTATTGAAAAGAACCTGCTTTTAAAGAGCATTACTATAACTGCACTAGATTTATTTATTATAGCAATTTTTTTTTTTTTTTTTAATGTTCAAGAAATGATTAAGCAAATGTAAAAAAAAAAAATTCTTATTATAATACTTAATTTTTGGGTTTCATACAGGAAGCACAAAAAACTATGTGTTCATTGAAATTGGGCAAAAATTTTTTTAACTATGCCTTTTGTTTGTTTTCAGTGCATATTTTGATTTTATTAAAAATTTAAATGTGATATTTTTGATTTAAATCATGGTTTTTTATAATTTTACCAATTAAAACTGTGATAAAGCATAAATAATGATTAACAAACATTACTTAAAGAAATAATAACTAAAGTATTTAATATTTCTAACACTTTTATGTAAAAATATTAATAACGGTTAAAATTGTAAGATAATTATTACAAACTAACCTCAGAATGAATAAAATCATAGCTACTTTTAGAAAAGCTTAACACTCTGTATACTTTATAAAGACAAAAATCAAATTCAACAGTAAATGAAGAATAAATTATTATTATTTAGATCAATTAATATAAAAAAATTACTTATTCTAAATTACTTTTAGAGGAATAAGTCTTTCATTATTTAGAAATATAAACTACACATTTAATAAGTATTATAAATTCTTTTATTTATATAAGTATAAAATCAAATGGGTATAATTGAAATATGCTTATTAAACAGAAAGTTATCTTACATGCTGCTACTGGATAGTTATAACTGAAAAGTTTAACACCATTTTAATGCCTAATTAGTCTCTCATTTATTTGTCTATTTTACATATCAAATTATAATTTATCCCATCTCATTATTTTGTTGAAAAACAAAATTCAATATAAATGATACAAGACTAAAAAAAATCGCAACCTTTAGAATTATTTATAAATTATACTACTATACAAAAATATTTTAGATTAAAATCAATAGTTTAAACAAATGCCTTTTTTTTTTAAATGAGTTTAATCACAAATTAAATCATATCAACCCTGTACAATAGTATGAAGTTTTTAATTATATGTTTCTAAAAAAAATTTTCCTGTTACAATAATATTTTTTATACATTTGAAATCACAGAGAAATGCTCCATAATAAACAGATGTTTAAATTCATTTGACAGATAAAAAGCAAAGTTTTTAAGATCATGTAATTTTAGATTCAGCAACCTTATAAATTGAGGTTTGAAAGCAAAGGATAATAACACAAACATAATATAACAAATTTAAAATCGTTTCTAAGGATGCACAGAATAGTAATTTTAACTGAATAACAAATACTGTCTGGTATTTGACTGAATAATCTCTAAATAAATTTTCAATCATTTTAAAATTTCTAAGAAGAATAAGAAATTAGAATGAAGCAATTTATAAATTTATTGTAATGACCATAAAAATGCTCTTACTTTTTTATTATACTCTGGTTTACTTGAAAGCAGAGCAAAAGATGTAGTTGTGCCTTGGGAATGACCAATTAAATAAAGTTCGTTCTGACCACTAACGTTTAGAGCAAAATCAATCATAGCTGGCAGATCATACTCAGCCATCTCATCAAAACTTAAAAATAATAAATTATATGTTACACGCTTAATTTTTTTCAAATAACTTCTAAAAAAAGGAAATAAATTACTTGTAAATAGAGTTCAATCTAATACAATAATGACTGAATTGAATTGAATGTAAGTTTTAATGGCACAAGGTCCAGAGAGGACATGCTGCGCCAGACACACGGTTTTAAAAACATATTAAAAGGTAGAATAGAGTACAATTACACAATCAATAAGTATAGTAAAAATTATGAGAATTCTAAAACAGTGTAAATGCAAGTATTTTCATATGTGGATAAAACTTGATAAAAATGGTTAGCATGATAAATCTCTTATATACTGTTTAAAATACCAATAGTGCGAAGAAAAGCAAAGATGTTAGGATGATGGTTTTCATCTAACAAGTCTTTTATGCATAAAATGGAGCTACCAAAAAAGGTGAGGCGAAGCTGGTTAAAACATGGACAAAGTATTAAAATGTGATGAATCGTGAGCAAAACGTTGCATTCGGGAGGAGGTTCTCCAAATAGCAAATGAAGGTGAGTAAGTCGAGTATGTCCTACTCGCAAGCGGGTGAGTTTGACATCTGCCCTGCGCATGTGCAGTGCAGGCCAAGGCTCCAAAGTAGGTTTAGCAGAATGTAATTTGTTTTCACCTTGCAGGTCCCAGTGTTGCTGCCATAAACACTGAACAAGTTTGCGAATGTGGTTTTTTAAAATACAATAATGACATTGTACATGATTCTCACAGCTAAACTATGATGAAATGCGAGGTTTTTTTAATGGATTTTTTAAGGCTAAATTTCCTTTTTTTAATGGTAATTGAAATCAGGACATTCAAAAATTTAGTTTGAATAGTAAAGTTCAAAAACCTGCAACTTTTTCCCCCCAGATTTAATATGTAATTAAAGGCACACGGCATTATAATCAACAGAAATTTTCTTTTTTTTTAAACAAAGAAGTATGAATTTTCCTAGGTATGATTTTTCTAGTTTTCTCAGTTTTATGTACCTAACTGCAGAAATCTTTAATATTTACTTTTTACAGATGACAAAAAGTTTTATGAAAGATTAACAGCATTTGAACTTCTGAAAAGTATTTCCATGTACTTTCAGCATAATTTGACTAAGTTCCATCTTTAAACAATTTTCTTTAAAGTGACATAAAAAAAAAAAACAACTAGAAAATTACAGTAAATTCAAAGCATTCAATAACATAGTACTATGACATGAAATAAAGCATTAAAACTCTTAAATAAAAAAGTTTAACTTTTGAAAGCCAAGTTCTGTTTCAAGCAATTTAATAATAATAACAAACAAAAAACTAGATTTATGACTTTTAAAATAAAAACCAAATCATATGTGTAACAATCAGAAATTCATTCCATATTATTCAGTTTTCCTTCTTTTAAATTATTATACAATAAAATATTCATCAAAAATATTATAAATTTTAAATTAAAGTTTGATCTATAATAGATCTACATAAAAATGTATAGAAATAAAGCTTTTACTTTACTTATGATTTAAGTAAAAGTGTTAAAATTGAAGAACTTAGGAATTTTGAAATTTGTTTAAAAACTGCATTTTTCTTCTCCTTAAAATTATTTTAATTACATAATTAAAAAATCATAAATGCATAGCTGCCAACCTTAGGAATCAAAAATTAGGAACACTATATGCAACAAAATTATACGCACCAATTACGAGAGTAAGACAAAAATTTAACTATTAAATAATAACATTAATAAACATATGTTTAAATACCTTATGTAAATTAGTAAAACAAAACTACAAACACTACCTTTTGTGGGAAATTTATAATATTAATATTTTATAATTAGGAATACCAGTATAATAATTTAAAAACAACCATTACCTATTAATATATAATTATTCTTCTCCAAATTATAAAACACAGGTAAATAATAATCTACATCATAAACAAATATTTCTGATGCAAGTGTTCTGATGCTACAATACATTTTTTTTAAAAATAATAATAGTTGTTTAAGATTCAATTTAGTGAAATGATCAGTAATAGCTATTGGAATAGTATTTTCTAATAAAAAGCTACTAAAAATTACTTCGGCACAATAATCACAGAAACGCGCTTGTGGCGATCAGAACAAGAGACTGGTTTAAAAGCAAATATAAAGTAATTTTAAGAAAATTCGGATTTTTATAAAAATATCAGATTTTCAGATTTGATTTAAAAATTAGGAACAAATCCGAAAATTTCTGAACAGTTGGCAGCTATGTAAATGTCGAAATTAAAAGTTCAGCAATATGGAATCAAGTTCTTCCTGATTTACAAGTTTAAAACATAAAAAATCATTTTTCCCCCCCTTTCTTTTCTCATTAAAGATTTTTTTTAAAAGAATGCCAGTAAATATTGACCACAAGTTCACAAGTCAGTTTCATAACTTAAACAAGAAAAATATTCATGGAAAGTTTTAGGCTTCAATTTGTGAATAATAAAATGTCTGAAATATTAAATATTTAGGTATGCTGATTTTTTAATACACAAGAATTTTTTAATTTTACTTGACAGATTGCTAATAATTATTCATATTATGCAAGAAAGATAAGTAGAGCAATTTTAATGTGATTGAAGTGTGTAGAATATAAATTAAGGCTTTTATAAGTTTTTGAGTGAAAAATAAGATTTTCATAAGGTGGAGGAAATCGTACTAAACAAAAGACTTAATTTGCCTCATTAAATCCTGAATCTTGTTAATATTGTAACTTAGATATACAAAATTCTAAAAATGTTTAATTAAATTTAAATTTAATGATAAAGCAAACTTAATATAATTTGGTATCTTTACCAGTTTAATAACAACCAATAAAATATATAATATATCACTATGACTATTAAGATTGAGAACAGAGTAATTATTACAGGCTAATCATACTCATTAATTACGTCAAAATTTTAAAAAATTAGAAAACATGTTTACATAACAACATTAAGTGATAATAAATAAAAAAAATCATAAAAACATTTTATTTAAAATTCATTATTCCATGCAGATTGAAGTAAAAATAAACTGCAAAACTGAAAACCTTAATATATAATGTATTGTTATATTTTATAACTTAATATTGATAGTATAATTAAAATTAAAAAAAACTTTTCACCTAAAATCCCAAAATTCCCTTGATTTAGGAGAATATTTCACATGTTTTCTTGAGTAAGTGTTTCCTCTTATATTTCCAAGCCAAACATCATATCCAGCATCTGCTAATATATATGCTGAAAAATGGAAATGCTTGTAAGTAATTTTAAAATGGCATTCCATCTAGAAAGGGGAGAAGAGGTTAAAATCTTATTTTCTAATTTGTGCAGCACTTTAAAGAAGGGTTTGTTGATTTAAATCAGCTTGATTTAAATCACAATTTAAATCAAATGATTTTTTTTTAAAAAACATTGATTTAAATCAACTAATTTTNATATAGACTTACATAGCTGTATAAAGTTAATAATAAGCATGATTTTTTTAAAAAAATAATACAAATAATGCTAATTAAAATTCCACCTTTTGAATGAAAAAGCGTGGAATTAAAATCGACATTATATTTTATTGGTAGAAAATGTATATTTCTGAAGCTTGAGGTTATATTAAAAAGAAATTACCCCAATATGCCAAAAATAGAAAAAGAAAAAAAAAAAAGGCTGATGAATTCAGATATTTTTCTCCTGATATAGTGTCATTCCTTTCTTCAAAGTCTATTTGAAGAAGTAGGGTTATGTTAGCAGTAGGGTTATAATATGTTTACAGTATTTTTGACATTATCTGATTTTCTATAAAGAAATTTTGTGAAAAAAATTTCCAATGAGTACATAGAATTTAAAATTTTTTTTTTTAGCTTAGCTTATCTATTTTGATATAGAATTAAAAATAATTATTTTAATATAAAAATAAATAGATTAAATATTTATTTTTTGATGAATGTCTACATTTATAAACACAATATGTTACATTTATTTGGTCATTTTAAAAATCAAGATAAAAAGAAAAGAAATCACAATTTTAAATTAAAATTATGGTTTACTAATTGAAACTTTGTTTTAATAGTCATAGAACAGGGGTCCATCCAAGCCAAATTTACTACCGCTTAGCGTTACCTTCACAAATTCAACTTTAGAAAAATACTTTTTCGTCAAATTTTATTTTAGTGTCTTGTAAGAAACAATAAATCCATATTTTTGTGTTGATTTTTTAATATGATTTTTAATTTTCACAAATTATGTCTAAATTTTCACAAAATAGGTATCTCTCAGAAAAACCTAGACAGACCCCTGAAGTATTCTTCAAATTTTCTACTTCATCTAGTCTTTAAATTTCAATTATGCATTTATTTCAGAATGGTTGCAATTCATTCAAAGCTATGTATTAAAATGAAAAATTACTTTAGTAAGTTAGAGCTTCTAAAATATTGTGATAATATAGTTTTAATATTAATTTAATTTTGATTAAACATTTACAAAGTTTTTTTAATCATAAATGAAAGTTCTTACAGTGTATTTGAATAAAAGTAAAAAAAATCTGATTTAAATCAAAAAAATCTGATTTAAATCAAAAAAATCTGACTTTTTTGATTTTTTTTTAAAAAAATCACGAACCCTGCTTTAAAGATACCATAGCTAATACATTTACTCTTGATAACATGAAAATTTTTTATTATTAATTTTTAAACTACCTTCACTGGTACATTAGACACTAAGGACAGAGGAAGGTTCTTGTTTATAAAACCAAAACTATAGTGCGTCCATTTCTGCTTTATTCATGTTGTTTTAGTCTATGTAGCACAAAGTATACCCTCAAAACTATAGTGTGTCCATTTCTGTTTCATTCATGCTGTTATTTGCTTTAGTATATTAGTGTATTATTTGCTTGCAAAAACTATATGTGAGGCAATGACTACCCATAACCCCAGCAGCAAAAACCACTGTATTTACCTGAAAGATTCTCATAACACTATAGAAATTTTTTTAATTTATCTGCAAAGCTTTTTGGTCAAAAATTCAAATCAAATGTTAAAAGTTGAAGTTTTACAAGGCAAGAATGTCAAACACTACAATACAAGCTGAAATAATTGCTCTACTTAAAGAAAGTATGTAAGTAAGATTGTAAAGTTAATTCATTTCATGGAGATTTGCAGTTTATAGAATTGCATAATGTAGACCTTCTACTGTATATTATACATCAGACCACAAAAGAACTTATAACTACAAGATAATTAAATTTTCAGATACATAAATAAAAATGCTTTTTGGCATAAGCAATTTTAAATAACAATTATACCTAAACTCTGTTGAGGGAAATTTATGACCCAATCAGTTGAAGAAGATAGAAGCCCATGTTGTAAAAAAACAACTTTCTTTCCCTTCCGGGGGATTCTTTGAACTCCAAGAAGATAACCATCTCTTGTTTGAACAATATATTCTTCAACAGGGTAACCTTTACTAGAGATTAGTTCAGTCTAAAAAAAAAGAAAGAAAATTTTTCTTATAATCTAATAAATTTTTTATAAGAAAAAGAAATTTCTTACCAAAAACACACAAACATTTAAAGAAAAACAGACAAATCAATACAGTAAAACCTCGATTATTCAAAGTAATTAGAAAATACCCACTCTAGATTACCAAAATCTTCAGTAGGGTCAGGTGGGGTAAAGTGGGTACATGGAAGAAAGTGCGGCATATGTTAAAAAAACATTTATTTTCTCCTTTTAACTCAAGGTAATTTATTTAATATTTAAAGAGACATTTACAGGGAATGCGACAAAGCATTTTTATTTCAGTCTTGGAAACTGATAAAAAGGTTAATGTTTATAAACTATCTGCTTATGATCAACTTATACAGGATGCCAGATTAATCTACTGATCAACTTCCTTTCTAAATATCATTAAAACCTGGCAAAACTATTTATTTTAGTTCAAACATGTAGAGGGACATCTAATGAACAGATGTATAGTGAACAAAAAAACAAAAACAAAAAACAGATATCACCCTGAATAACTTTCTTTCTTATGATAGGATTTTCAAGTAATAAGTGTCAATCTTAATAGTTTCTGGGGGTGACTTCAATTATGCTAATTAATTACTGCTAACTATAATTAAGTTGTGAAATCAGACACAAAAACGCACTTTCTCTGAATAAGAATATTTCATTAATTCGATATTTCATATATTCAACATAAATTTAATCTTAAATTCTCAGAAAATAAATCTAAATTTAATATTAATTTGATCTCATTTAATGTGAAATACATGAAAAATGCACTTTCTCTGAATAAGAATATTTCATAAATTCTATATTTCATACATTCAACATTAATTCAATCTTAATTAAATTCTTTGAAAATAAATCTAAATTTAAGATTCGCTTGATCTCATTTAATGTGAAATACAAGAAAAATTATCTTATAACAATTAAATGCACTATTTAAAATTTGAAAAAAAAAAAAATTTAAGGGAAAGAGATTATTTCTACATGTGAAATACCAGAAAAATTATCTTATAATTAATAATTATACTATTTCAAATTCAGAAAAATGTAAGTAAGAGAAAGTGATTGTTTTTTAGTAGAATATTTGTTCTGGTTTAATTAAAGATAAAAACAATTTGAAGGTAGAAGAAATAAAGGAATTCTCCCTACAGCAAATTTTAAATATACAGTGATACCTCGAGATACGAGTTTAATTCCTTCCGTAACCTTGCTCGTATCTCAAAGCAATTTTCCCCATTGAAATCAATTGAAATGCCATTAATCCGTTCCAGTCCCAAAAATGCTACCCCCAATTATTTTTGTTACGTGTTTTTGAATAAGAAAAATGTATTTATAAATCACAAATATTGTATAAAAACACAATAAAAGAGAATGTAAAGCAAAAAAAAAAAAAAAAAACTGGTTTTATAAAGTGTACATACATATTTGTATTTTGGTCACTTAAATGCAACTTACATACAACTTAATTGCTACTGCATGCTTAATTTTAGTCACTGCTTTTCTCTTCACTGGTCTTTGCTTTTTTAGCCGGATTAAAAAAAATTGTCCAAGGAGGTTTGTTTCTTCCTCTTTTTCAGAATGCTGCAGAAATAAGTTAGTCAAGTGTCATTAAATAGCTCCGATGCACGACCAGTTGCAACTTTTTCGGGGTGTTTCTTTTCCACAAACTGTGAAATTCTCTCCCACATTCCCAAGAACTCTTTTATCTCACTTGTAGAGATAACCTCCTCCACCTCTGGCTCTTCCTCGAAACTAATTTCTTGCAGAACCCCCGAACGCTGCTGCGACTCTAACTCTTGTAATTCCTTGGTCGTCAGTTCCTGAGAGTGCTCATCGACGAGCTCGTTCACGTCTCTCTCACCCATCACCAGGTCCATCGATTTTCCCAGAGACACAATCTCCTCCTCCACTGGCACTTCAGATTCGAATCCTTCGAAGCTACAGACTCACTCAGGCCACAGCTTCTTCCATGCAGAGGTCAAGGTCCTCATTTTAACACTCAGCCAGGCCTAATCAATAATTCTGAGGCATATTACGATGTTAAAGTGGTCCTTCCAGTACTCTCGAAGGGTGAGGTTTGTGTTCTCTGTCACCACAAAGCAGCGCCAGAACAGGTGCTTAGTGTACAGCTTTTCAAAATTAGAAATCACCTACTGATCCATTGGCTGCAGGGACAAGAAGGACTTGCACGGCCGTTCCTCGTATTTCAAATGTCGCTCGTATCTCAAAACAAAACTTCACTCGCTCGACAGCTTGTTTCTCAAGTAACTCGTATGTTAGGGCACTCGTATCTCGAGGTACCACTGTATATTAGTATGAAAGAATATTAATTAATTAATACTGATCATTTTTATAAGGAAAAGAACCATTAAAATTTCCTAAATATTTTAACCAAACAGTTATGAGTTGCTAAGTACTCCAATGTTAATAGAATTCTACTAGAAAAATTGCTATGAAGGAATATTAATTAATTGATACTGATTATTTTTATAATAAAAAGTACCATTAAAATTTTGTAAATAAATATTTATATGAAACAGTTATGAGTTGCTAAGTGATCCATTATTAATAGAATTCTACTAGAAAAATTGCTAGAGCTTTTTTTTTTCAGAATGCAATATTTTAAAACAGCAATATTTTAAATAAATATTGGTATGAAAGAATATTGACTAATTGACACTGATTATTTTTAGAATGAAAAGTATCATTAAAATTTCGTATATAAATATTTATATCAAACAGTTATCTGTCTTAGCAACAGATAACTGTTTGATATAAATATTTATTATTAATAGAATTCTACTATAGTGTCCTATATTAATAGAATTCTACTAAAAAAATTGCAAGAAATTTTTTTTCTGAATGAAGTTATTCTGAAATTAAAAATAATACATTTTATTAATTATTATTTTTTTGCAATAAAATTTTCCAGTAATGTGCTTAAGTAGAGCAAATTATAAATTTTTTAGTCTGTTGTTTGTCATTTTTAAAGGTAGTCTGGTACACGTATACTGTCCCAAAAATGTCCCAGTTAGCCCACTAAGTGGCCTGAAATTTGCTTATTAACATAGTGCAGAATTAAATGAAATTAAATACAAGGAAAATATTGTAAATGAATTCTGTATATCTTTTATTATAAATGTTTTCAATTATAAAAAAGGCATTTTGAAAATATTACAAAAATAAATAAAATCATAATACAATAGAAATTTGATAACTGAATTGATAACAAATTTGAAAACACTGATTAACAGAAAAAATTCTAAACATAAAGAGAAAAAAAAAGTATAAAACATAAAATAGCACTTCATTATCAGTTATGCTTTTGATTGTAACAAGCAGAATGTATCTTAAAATGATAAAAAAAAAGTTTATCTAACTTATATTTATTTGTTCAATAAATACATTATTTAACCAATTTTAAAAATAATTGGAAAATGGATTTCGTAATGCTGTATTTTATCTTACACTTTTTTAGAACATTTTGCTCACACCAATTTATTTTTGCAGGAAAGCTAAGATAATGTAACATTTAAAAATTATATATTTATGCTTATAAAAACAAGGCTAATCTGTGAACATTTTCAAGTGTAGTTATAAAATATATTGTACAATTTAATGTAACAAAAACAATATTAATTTCTGGGTTATCTAATATATTACCAAAAAAGATTGATCACTAAAACTTAAAAATTACTAAAATTTAATGAATCTCCAAAACTTTAAAATAAAATTATTGTGATAGGGTGACCTGGGGTAATTCCTGATCAAAAAACGCAAATATCTATTTTGTGAAAAAACTATTCAAAATAGAATTTTAATATTTATTGGAAGTTTGAGGCTATATGAGATGAGTCCTATGCCAACTTCTTTTGTTTGAAAATCTAATTAGAATTTAAAAGATTTTAAATTTTTAGTGATCAGGAATTACCCCTGGTCTTCATCACTTTTGGGATAATTCCTGATCACTTTTGGGGTAATTGCTGATCACCAGTTTTTATTGTAAAGGGGCTGTTTGAAAATAATTATATAATGGTAATTAACAAATAAGACATCAAGATCAAAAAATAAACCAAAAAGATATCTTTAAGCAGCTAATAAAACAATTTATTTAAAAGCAAGAAGAATGATTAACGCCTTAAATTTTCAAAAATCTTTGCATCGTTACATACATTTTAGGCAATTAGCCAACTCATTCTCATGTTCTTCTGAAATATAAGAGAGTTCCCACATGGGTTACTTTTGCTGGATTTTTTGGGTTACTTTTGCTGGATTTTTTAACTTCATTAAGGGAAAGTGTAAAGTTAAGTAAGGTATGCCAACAGCTCTGGCAGCAGCTCTCACATTGAAATTTTAATTTTCAATCACTAAAAGAAATTCACTAATTTTGTTTACCAGAAGCTTAGTATCCTTTTTCGGCTTATAATTTCTCACCATATTTATACTAGGCTAATTTATAAACTTAAAAATTATTCTAACAGTTATACTAGGCTAATTTATTAACTTAAAAATTATTCTAACGATGTACACACATAAAATTAAGATAGAAGCAAGGTAAGACAAACCAGAAATGGTGCAAATCAGAATACAGTCTTGTATACAGTTAAAAACAAATTTTGTTCAAAACAAAAATTCCACTTAATAAATATGAACTGTTATTTAAGAAATGACAATTAGCTATTTATAAGCTATTTTATATACTATTTATAAGAAGAAATTACAATGATCAGGAATTACCCCAGTGATCAATAATTATCCCATATGTAGGGGGCAACATTTGATATAGTTTCCTATAGTAATCAATTATAAAATTTACAGTTGATGTGAAACAATTAAACAAAAGCTTACACTACTTTTATATCAAAGAAAAAGAAAGTAACTCAAAATATTTATCATTACGAGAATGAGGGGGATCTTTGCAGAAATATGCACATTTTGAAACCCATCTTTGAAATGGAAAATACAGAAAGCAGTTTAAAAGATACTTATTTTGTTAGATTAAACAAAAACTTATTATTAAGTAAACGTAGTTATACTTTAGTAAAGTGTACAAGCATTTTTGTCCATGTCTCAAATTAAAATAATTTTTTTAAAATAAAACTTAGGTGATCATTATTTACCCCAGAAACAGAGTGATCGTGAATTACCCCGGGTCACCCTATGTCTTAAACAGAAATACTTTAATGTTTTAAAAATGACTTATAAAAAATTTCTAAGTTTTTATAGGATATAAGAAGAAAAAAAAATAAGTGATATAATTTTTAATATTTAAAAAAACTACTATTTAAAGAAAAACAGTAAGAAAGCGCAGATGAACTAACAAAAACACAAATGTAATCACAAAATTTTAAAACTGGAAAAATTTAAAAAAACAAACAATATTTTGAACCTTTTTATAAAAAAAAAAAATCATAGGAGAAAATATATCAATATCAATTTTATCAATATCAAAAATATATCAATATCAAAATTTATCAATAGGAGAAAAACAAACAATATTATAATTTTTAATTTTATTCAAATTTGACAAAATTTTAAGTTAAATATTGACAAAATTACTAACATGGAAAATTAAGTCACAAAAATATAGAAATACATAAAATTTTGAAATCAGAAAAATTAACATTCAATCAATAAAATTGCAATATATATTTTAAATCTTGCTCTAACAAGTCTCGTGGATAAAATTATGAAATATTTTAAATCTCAAAAAAATAAAAAACGCAACAGAATGGAGAAGAAAATAGCTAATTTACTAACTAATTAAAAAAATCAATACCAATCTAACAAGTTCCCATTATTTCATGCTAATTAAAAGGAAAACAATCTTATGTTTTTGAAATTTATTTTAACTAAAATTAAAGCATTGTTAACAAATCATATACTGATAGAAAAAGAAAACAATATGATTATAAAATAATATTTCTTTTTGAAAAGTAAATTTTGTATTTGCTTTGTTACTTTCAGAAAGATGCAAAAGAACTTGAATCTGAAATTGCTGATATATTTTTGGAATTTGAGAAACTAATAAAAATTTTGGATGGATACTTTCTTTAAAAGCACAGTGCGGCAGGAAATTCAAGGATTGTCTGTTATAACCTTTTTTGACAAATCAGAAAGCACCTTTTGTTTATTTGTTTTCCTTTGAAATTTTGTATTAATTGTTTTTTGTGAATAAGCCAATGTCCAATATTTGCTCTATTTTTCTTTACAAAAAAAGCACTTACCTTCACAAAACAAGTGTTTCTTAGAGCATTTTGGAATGTGAAATTACTATAGGCAAGTTTTGCCTCTGAAGGGTTTTCTTGAAGAAACAATAAAGCAAATTCAACAGCATGGGTGAAAGAAATTAAACTTTTTGCAGATATTTTGAAGATTAATAATTTTATATGAGAAATTTAGAGAATTATTACACTGTGTATTTTTTTGTTTTATATCAGTTGTTAAACAGTCAACCCAATTTTTGGATTTACGGCAACTAATGTTCAACTCCATAGCCCTGTAATTTTGAACCAATCCAGAAGACAAGGAAAGTCCTGGATCAGTACCCCCAGAAGTGTGATTTGTTCTGGAAACATGGAGGACTTTGTGACTGGCCAGATTTAACGTGCATCAGTCACCATTTACTACATTGGGAGTCTTTGGCCGGCAGGGATCGAACCCACGACCTCTTGGACATGGTCCCAGTGCCCTACCGACCCGGTTATTCCGGCCCCATTTGTACTAATATTATAATTTAGTCTCCCTCAAAAATTGGGCGCCAGCAATCCCCATGATAGGGATCTTGGGGATATTTCCATATCATGATCTACAGTGCCAACTACAACAGGGTTCCCACTCTTTTAACAAAGCAAAAATTAAGCACTTTTAAGGACTTTTTTTGAAAAATTAAGGACCTTAAAGATAGTATAATTGTTTATTATCATCGAATAAATATATACAATCAGTGACAGTGCTAATTATGTAACTTTCTTAAAATAGATAACAAAATAATAGAAAACAATTTTATTATAATGTAAGTACTGATAAAATTCTATTAATTAACAGGGCTCACAAAAGTAGGACCAGACAATATTTGCAAGCCTGAATGATTATTAAGATATAAGTTTGAATTTTATTCTAATAGGCATTAATAACAAAAAGTTTGGGATCTTTGATTATGGCGTAGTAGATTTAAATTTTTATGTAACAATCTAAAACTTTAAAAAATTTTTTAAATTGCAGCAAAACAAGTTATAAACAGTTGTTAGGAGCAAATCATGCATTCTTAATTAGTACTCAGGAATAAAATGAAAAAACTTGAGGTTTTCCCCGAAAACCCAATAAATCTCAGGTTTTTGATGTAAAACCTAGGGGGGATAGAATTCTTCAAACCCTGTTTATTACACATCTGTTTAACTTTTAGTACAATCATGAATTTTAAAAATGTTACTGCTTTTCATAAATTTACAATTACTTATTATTCACAGAAATACTATACAAATTTATTTAATTCTTTCAAGATTTTTGGAAATAGTTTTCCTCATGGATTCTAGTAAAAAAATTAATTTCCGATACAGACATCCCTTCCTGTCTCTCAAAAATTCTTCAATCTCGGTGCATGGTCTAATTCTAGGTGATAAAAGAACAACTTTTTGCTTTAAAACATTGATCCGAAAAATTTCTTATCAACTATGCTGAAAAATTAAGCACTTTTAAAAACCTTGTACCAAAATTAAGTACTTTTAAGGGCCCTTATTTTCCAAAATAAAAGTTAAGCAGTTTTTAAGGACCGAGGGAACCCTGTACAATTACCAAATTCCTAATAGATTTTAAATTTGCAAATTTAAAAAAAAAAAAAAAAAAACATTTAGATGTTTGCCCAGGGGTGGCTGCAACTTATACCTTTCGAGTTGGTCTCTTTCCGTGATGTTTTGTTTAATAGTTTCTCATAGGCACCTGCCCGGAAGTTGGCAAGATTTGGCGATTTTTCAACAACCGATAACGATACGGGAATTTCCCCAGGATCTTGACCAATCGCTTAGAAATCTAACACAAAATAACCAAAACATCATCTACAGTACAATTATATGAGGGATATTAACGTATTGTGATCTGTTGTAGCATCTACAATCGCTAAATTGATTTTAAACTTGCAAATTTTTATTTAAAAAAGTGTAGAGGTCTGTCAAGAAGTGGCAACAAGTTGTATTCTTTGAGTCATTCCCTTTCTGGGATGTATTTTTTTAGTTTCTCCCGGTCATTGGGATGAGTTGTGATATGCAGTAGAATAATTGCCAAGTTTTTTCTACTCCTACACAGTAGCCTACGAGAAAATAAAAAAACATTAGAGAAAGAGATCAACTTAAAGGGTATAACTCATACCCATCCTCTAAACGTTTTTATAAAAAAATTTGCAAGTTTGAAATCCATTTGGCACCTTGGTGATTGTAATTGGGACAACAGATCAGTGGGGGGTATTTCCATATCATGCCAACTACAATCGCCAAGGTGCCAAACAGATTTTAAACTTGCAAATTTAAAAAAAAAAAAAAAAACATGTGTAGATGTTTGCCTGGGGATGGCTACTAGTTGTACATTTCAAGTTGGTCCCTTACTGTGATCGTTATTTTAGTTTCTCGAGGGGTCGCTGCCCAGAAGTTGCCAAGACTTCGCGATACGGAAATATCCCTGGGCCACTGACCAGAATTCACCAAGACTTGAAGATTGTTTTGGCATAGATAACTATACAGAAATATTCCCAATATTAGTGCATCACAGACATAGAAATATTAATTTTCTTAATTATCGGAAATTTATTTGTATACTACATCAATTAACTTATCAAAACATTAATTAACTTCACTCAATTTTGTATCAAGATCTTTGTTGATCCATAGTAAATTAAACATATAATTATTCAAACTAAATTGTACAATTATTTAAGTCAGGCACATACGTAGCTGTAGTAAAAATATAAATTATTGGAAATTTACTTTTATAGTATACTACATCAATAATTGGGCATTTAACTTATCGAAAATATACTAACCACATTCAATTTCATATCGGGATCTTGGCCGATCCCTAGTAAATCATTTATAAAATTATCCGGGTCAAATACCAAATTGTCATCTATTGAACACTCATATAACTGAGCTAGACACAGGAGAAGTAAAAATGCTCTCATGTTGCTCATTCTTGTTAACAAAAGAACAACAAACTGTTAAAAATGCATTTATTTGTGCTTTGACGTCTAAAATATGATAACATAATCTAAAAGAAATCGTGACAGCTGCGATTGATATCGCAGTTATCTGACACAAGTAATGCAAGTTTGATATGACAAGTGAAAATTAATAAGACATTGCGTCATATATATAACATGCTGTCCTTGATTTTCAGAGGAATTTGTAAACATAATCTTATTTAGCACGTGATTTTAAAGGGTTATTTTAAAAGGGAATGTTTCAAGATATTACCACAATAACTTTAAAGAAGACAAAACACTTATAAATAAAAAGCTGAGTACCCAGTTCGTTGCAGAAACAAATAATATAAAAGAAATGTGTAAAATGTCAACAAAGAAATTATGAGAGCACAAAGAACTGAGTATAAATACAACTTACTGGAGAAATAACAAGTTTTCTAAAACCGGAAAAAATAATTGTATTTCCGGTGTATCCCTCCGCCAATGTTTCATTTACTAGGTGAACAGGTTTCACCAAGTCAGGAATGAGGCTATGACGTATGAGGATTCAAAGCGGAGCCTTCAACAATCTTAATTTTTCAATCAATAATTTGTGTATTTATAACTGTTTATTTTTCAAATGTTGCTCTTAAAAGCTTGTCACTTAATGTCCAGGGTCGCGTCAAGCTAAAAATAACTGGGGAGTGGGTGATCTATGAAAACTTGATGGCAGGAGGCCCTATAAGTGCAGATAGATGAACAACGGACACAAGCATGCAGCAGTCAAAGGGGGGCATCCAATCATACAAACACCAAAACTTTAGTCTGTTTTTAGATTTCTAAAGTATTTTATTAATTTCGAAATTATATTTTTCATGGGGTAAATACTTAACTTTGAGAAATATACTTTATGAGAACTAAAGTATGATTTTCAAATAAATCTAATAATGAATTAAAATTTTTCCAAAATTATAATTTTCGCATACATTTACATAAAAATGAATTTAAATTTTTACGTTTGTATATAGTTCAAATGTTTTCTTTTAATTTATAGTTCAAATGTTTCCTTTTTCTTTTAATTTTTTTTACTTATAAATTTATTTATTTATCATTGTTCTCCCCCCCCCCTCCTCAAGATATATAATGTCTCCCTTTTTTTCAGAGGCATGAGGATATTTTCTGCACCCCACTGGACTTTAAATGCTCTAAAGATATTAGTATCCCCAAAGGGTTATTAAGAATAATAACATAAATGAAAACAAAAATTACATATAAATAAAGTAATAAGGATGCATATTTATCGATCTTTACACTTTTTTTCGAGAGATTTTCTGTAGAAGTAAAATAAAGCAGAAATGTTCACGTAAAAAATTTATGGAACTTTAACATATCATTATAGCGAATACAAAAATAAACACGGTTTAATAATATAGAACAAAAAATGTAATTAATAATCAGTAAATGTTAATAAACCCATTTCATTTTGTCATAAATTTATGAAAAACTTTTTTTATATAACAATTTCACATTATTGAAAATATTCCAACATTTTATATTCTGAATCCATTACAATTAAAATTAAGTTTTAAATTAACAATAAATCACCTTTATGGAGAAAAGGTGATTTTTGTATGAATATTTAAAAAAGCATAAAAAGATATACTTCTGGCCTTTTATTTTAGGTAGGGTCGGATTGAAAGCCCAAGGGGGATTAAAGGAACCTTAAAAGAATGTTAATAAATTGTTATTGATTTTCAATTTGATAATTTAAAACATTCTTGAATTAGTTAAACATTTTAAACTATAAATTTAAACATTATTGATTTTACACTAATTTTAAACAATTGATGCATATCAACTCGCGTATTTTTTCTTAGTTATAATAAAAAAAAAATTCATTGATAGCTGGACACAAAATATACTCTGGGGTAAGAAGGAGGAAAATGGATGGTATAAACAGAACTCGATGATATACTTTTTTATTTAGTATTTCTGTATTGCTAAGTAAATAATCCGACGAAAACATTATAAAACTATTGTTCAATATTTTACAGCTTTACAACATTTTATTTTATTTTTTGGGGTTTACGACTACTAACGTTCAACTCACTAGCCTTGTAATTTTGAACCCAATCCAGAAGACAAGCGAACTCCTGGATCAAGTATTGGGGGAATTCGCTATCGTGGAAGACTTTTTGAGGTAACTAACCAGCATTTGCCTTACATGGAGAGAAAAACCACGACCACGAAAAACGTCCACGGTTAGTCTGACCACAAGTGGGCTCTAACCCATGATCCATCTACCACTGAGGATATTTTTACGGCAGCATTGTGGTCAGTGCAAGCAGGGTGAGGAATTCGAATCACTGTCATCGCTGGGAGTAGAACCCGGTTCACCTCATTGGAAGGCGAACGCTCTATCCTATGAGACACCACGCTTATCTTCACAACAAAATTAAGTAAAATTATATAACTGAATTATTCGACTACCTTCCAAATCATCATTTTGCTTAGTCCAAAAATTAAAAAAAAAGACTCTTGATAATAACAGAATATTATAAAGCATTATATTATATGTACTACCACACCAAAGGAAATATTTATACACAAATTAGAGAGCCAACAATGTGGTATAAGTATGTATGCATATATTTCGTTTTTAAGCGTTAAAATGGAGAAATTGATGTTCATATACTTTGTCCTATATCTGCCTTTAATATATTAACCTATAATATTCAAACTTGGCCAGGTATTATATTATATCATACTATAGTTTCATATAAAAAGAAATCATTATAGACAAATCAGGAAGCCCACAACGTGGCAAAATATTTATGTATACATTTGGAAGTGCATTAATTAAAGTTAAAATGGAGAAATAGTTGCTTTTATATATCATACATATATATATGGCCTTATATCTCCCCTTTTAACCTTTAATATTCAAATTCGGTCAAGTAATAGATTATATTATATTATACTACCATACCAAAGGAAATAATTATACACAAATTGGAGAGCCCACAATGTGGCATAATATGTAAGTATGTATGCATAGATTTCTAATTGCGTTTTAAAGCGTTAAAAGGGAGAAATAGTTGCTTATATACTGCATACATATGAGGCCCTAAATCTCTCCTTAATATTAACCTAAAATAGTCTGGGTTTTGGTTCATTTAATCGACAATCACTTCATTGACAGGACATTTCCTCGACACCACTTCATTAACAGATCATTTCAAAGACTAGGTCATTTCGTCGACAAGGTCATTTCGACCACAGGGTCATTTCGTCGACAGGGTCATTTCATCGAAAGGATCATTTCATTGACAAGATCATTTCGTCGATAGGGCCATTTAGTCGCCAGGATTGTTCCGTTGACAGGCTCGTTTTATTGACAAAGTCCTTTCGTGGACGTAGTCATTTTGTCGATATGATCACTTCGTTGACAGGGTAATGCGTAATTATGAAACTATTTTTAGCGATTGATTGCTTTTCGTCATAATTTAGTGTATTTTTACCCTAGATATTTTTATTATTAATTTGATTTGTTGTTGTTGTTGTTCATTTACGTCGCACTAGAGCTGCACAATGGGCTATTGGCGACGGTCTGGGAAACATCCCTGAGGATGATCCGAAGACATGCCATCGCAATTTTGATCCTCTGCAGTGGGGATGGCACCCCCGCTTCGGTAGCCCGACGACCTGCACGCGAAGTCGAGCACTTTACGGTAGAACAGTTTAACGAGGACCCATACCGCACACCCTCGGTCTCTACGCAGGCTGATCCAAGTGGTCACCCACCCGCACACTGACCGTAGCCAGTGATGCTTGACTTCGGTGATCTGCTGGGAACCGTGTCTTAACGATCAGTCCACTGCGGGACTTATTAATTTGAAAAATACTGTTATATAATATTTATACTAAAGCAGAGCGTTTTTACCCTGCTACAATAGTAATAAAAGAAGCGTTTTTTATATTTTTATTGATAGATCTCTCCTTTAGCTGTATATCCAGTTAAAAAAACGAAACTTTTGTGTGTTCTAGTTGTATTTTTCAAGTATTTATTTCTCAGATAACATGTTTAATTTTAAAGTGAGTGCATTATTATGGATTAGCATCGCAAAGGAAATAGCTATAACTGCTGAAAATGATTTTCGATATAGCAAGTGAATGAAGGGAGAAAAGAACACGGAAATAAATGAATTCATGAATCGGTAAAATAATAGATCCTAAATTAGAGAACAATGATATAATTTTATAACGGAAAATTATATTTTAATTTTGTTCTTCAAATAAATTTATAAGTAGTTGAGAAGCATTTAACCGAGAACAGTATCAAGCTCTACTTTTCAATATCTCAATTGTAATAGAGCAACACTTGTTTTGAGGATAGGTAAGGATTGTCTTCAGATCACTACTAAACTCGATATCCTGACCGTTGTCAACAGCCCATTGTGGTTCCAGTGTGAAATTAACAATCAAATTAATTTTAATATCGAATCAAATGAATAAAATATGATATCGTAAGAATTAAAAGTAATTAAAATATATTACAATGAAAATTTAGAGACTATTTCGAGGGGGGAAGCCCAATTCTTAGCTTTAAAATTATTTTAATTATGCTTTAGCAAAACCATAGACTTCAGGGTAGTTCCAATAGCAATGTAAATAATCATAGGCCTTATTTAATTATCTATGCATAAGTAAACTGATTCATATCGCATATTGCGAGTAAATTTCAAAAAATGTGGTTTCGAAACAAATAAGGGAGTATTTACATGGGGTTAGAATTGACAAATAGAATATTTCTGATACTTCATCAATCAGAAATTTTCTATTTTGGCAAGAGGGAAAAACTATGACATATTTTTTTATGTGGTTACAAGACAAAACACAGCATTTTTAAATAGAAAAAAGAAGAAAAAAACTAGGTTTTTATGGTGGAAATTTTTTTTTTAATATTTAATTTAATTGCAATTTTAAATCTTTTATTCAGCGTCTTTAATTTGCATTTTCATCTTATTTCTAACAGCTTCTTTGAATTCTTGCCAGCGTCTTTGGATTTTCATCTTATTTTTCCCAACATGCATTTTTTTCAAGATTTTTATAATCTTAAGTTTCGCGTCCTGCTCACTTCGCTCACCATCCTTAATAATAGCCTCTCACTCACTTAGTTTTTTTTTTTCGTTTATAAATTGATATTTTTGTTAGAAAAAAAAAACGATGAAATATATAATTACTGAAATTTTATGTAAGAAAATTTCGTTAATTATATATTTCATCTTTTCAATTGTAACAAAATGAATGATTACTTGCATATGAAAAAAAAAAAATCAACTCTACTTGAAAAAATAAATATTTGAACATAGGAATAGGAAGTAATAAATAAGAAGTAATTTTACTAGCTAATTAACGAAGAGATTTGTGTGCTTTTCTGATTAAATTTTTTGTAACCACTACTACTGTTTTTTTTTTTTTTTCCCTTNTTTTTTTTTTTTTTCCCTTGCTATTTTCCCCCTTCATTCACTTGTTTTATCAAGATTCATTCACAATAATTAATGCAATCGCTTTTGCGATGCTAATTTTCAATACAGCAGATTAAAAATTAATCTTGGAAATAAATCTGTAGAATACATCTGAAAATGCGTAAAATACAACTAGAAAATCAAATGTAAAATAGGTTTCATTTTTGCAACGTGATGTAAACCAAAAGTCAATTTTCGGAAAAAAGGCTTCATTTCTGGCAACTACAACATACTATAAAAATTTTGTTTCAGAGTAGGTTTAAAAAACTTACAAAAAAAAAAAATACACTAAATTATAAAGAAGTGCAAATGACATAATATAAAACAAATCTCAAAAATAGTTTCAAAATTATGAATGACTTTACCTACGATATTACTTTGTCTGCAAAATGACCCTGTCAGCGGAAGAACCTGTCGACGAAATGACCCTGTCGACGAAATGACCCTGTTGTCAAAATAACCCTGTAGATGAAATGACCCTGTCGACGAAATGACCCTGTCTATGAAATGACCTTATCGACTAAACATCCCTGTGGATAAAATGACCCTGTCGACGAAATGGCCAGTAGATGAAATAGCCTTGTCGATGAAGTAGCGTCGATGAAGTGATTATCGCAGAACGCGAGCCCAAATTGAAATAAGGACACCATATTTTTCACACTTATATGTACAGAAATATTTATAGAAATATTAAAAAAAAAAAAAAAAAAAAAANAAAAAAAAAAAAAAAAAAAAAAAAAAAAAAAAAAAAAAAAAAAAAAAAAAAAAAAAAACATAGAGTTCAAAACTCTAAAAATCTAGGTAATACTTAGTGCTGACTAAAGATTGGGTGAATTACGAATTTTTTTTACATTTTGCAACACAGGATTAATTTGAAACTATCTTCATCTTAAAATATTGGTTTGGTGTCATATTTCCCAAAAAATACCTATATATACTTAGAGATATTCGTAGATATATTTCTTTAAAAAATAAGTCCAGAGCAGATAAAGGGCATAACATAAGGGTAGATCTTTTGCGAATATTTTACAATTTTTTCCAACTAGACATTAATTTCAAACTGGTTTCATATTTAAATGTTGGCGTCAAATTTTCTAAAAGTACACATTTAGTCAAAATCCTGTAAAGCCCAGATCATATACAGAGCTAACCAGCTTAAAAAATCATTAAAATAATATGCTAACCAGTGTTAAACATAGAGTTCGTTATTTAACTATTTTTTTTAATAATTTTTTGAATGCGTCATTCATTTGATCCTGAAGTAACAGTGGATTGATCGTAAAGCAAGATTCCCAGTGGATCACCTAAGTCAAGAATCACTGACTGTGGTCAGTGAGCGAGTGGATGACCACTCGAATGTCTACGAATAGACCGAGGGTGTGAGGTATCGGCCTTCGATAAATTGTTCTACCATAAAGTGCTCAAATTCGCGCTCAAGTTGTTGGGCTACCGAAGCGGGTTAGCCAATCCCCTCTGCAGGGGATCAAAATTGTGATGACATGTCTTAGGATCATTGGTTGCCCATAGTCCATTGTGCAGCTCTAGTGCAAGTAAAAGCTTTCTACATAAATTATTTGGAATATTTTTAAAAATATTTTTTTAATAGTTTTTCTTCTTCTCTTTTCATTAATCTTTATTACATTATTTTCCAAGTTTTCTCTATATTTTTAATAACTTATTTTATGAGTGTTCCATATATNAATTAAAGGTCTTCAAATAACGATTCTTCTTTTAAACTCTAATAAATCAGGTAACAAATACACGTGTCCAAGAAATACTATCCAAGAGAATCTGGAAACGTAATTATCACGTTGTCCAACGTGACAACGTGATGATTACATGTGAATAATATATATATATATATATATATATATCCCCCTTAAGTTCAAGAGTTCTATAATTTTTAATATTCTTTAAAAGTTTGTTTGCTATATGCTGAATAGAAAAAAGAAGAAAAAAAAATGTTATTTAAATCATCAAATTTAAAAATGGAACTTTTGCGCTCAATTCGTGGTATATTCAGTATAACACGTAGCAAGTATCTTTGTAATTATTATTATTTTTAAATATAACAGTACATTTCGTAGTAGTAGTTGTAGTAGTAGTGATTTATTTGCGTCGCACTAGAACTGCGCAATGGACTATTGTCCTCGATTTGGGAAGCATCCCTGATGATGATCCTAAGACATGTAATCACAATTTTAATCCTTTGTAAAAGGAATGGCTTCCCCTTCTTTGGTAGTTCGAAAGCCTGCACTCCGCGAAGTTGAGTATTGTGCGATAAAACAGTTTAACGAGGACCGATACCACACATCCTCAATCCCTTCACAGGCTGATCGAAGTAGTTACTCACCCACTCACTGATCGCTGAACCATTGTAAGAATTTCTGATGGGCGCATGTAAAAAGAGTTTTTAGAAATAAGAAGAAAAAAAGATTTATTTTACCAGTATTTTAAATGAATTATAGCCTTGGAACAACGTTGAAAACATTTCTGCAGGTGACAGTGGATCTTTTTTTTCCCTTTTTTATTGTATTTATAGAACTTTTAAGAACTGAAAATACTTTGTTAAATTTACAAGTTTATATTTCGTAAAAAAAAATTTTATTTTTAAAAAAAGAGACAAATAAATTTTTTTTCATTTTATTTACTTATTTATTTATTTATTTTTGCGTGTAAGTTACTTTTGCGTCTGCGTATCTAACTCAACTGCGAGTAAATAATATTTTTGTAATAAATTTCTATAAGTAATTTCAAACAACGGTAATTAGAATAAGTAATTAGTATTTTCGGTGACTAGAAAGCTCAAATTTTGACGTGAAACAACAATAGAATAAATCCAGCATTACAATTTTTCAAAAAAATCAAAAAAAAAGNTTTTTAAAAAAAAAAAAAAAAAAAGTGTCTAATCTAAAAGTGTTAGCGCTATATACGCTTTTACCTTTATAACGTTAAGATCAAATATTTTTTTTTTTAAGTTGTTAATATTTCTAGACATATATGAACATATCTAGAAAAATAATTTCCGAACATATGACATCCATATTTTATTATGAAACGAGTTTTAAATTACATATATTTCCAATTAAATAATCTGTCGTTACAAATTATTATAAAATATTCGAAAAATGTCCATCCTTATGCTTGTGATTTATATACCCTTTTTTTATGTGAAGATTTTTAAAAAAATGCCTTAAATTATTCTAAAAACAAATGAATATTTTCACATAAACACAATTTTTTGGATCGTTACGGTGCACAAGTTCAACCTTTTGACCCCGTCGTGGGTGCCCATCGTAAGATCTATAATAGTATCGAAATAATTTTTATTGCTCTTTCTAAACCCTTTAATTGAATCGGAAAAAGCCGATCGAAATCAAAGGATTAATTTGGCGCTTCGTCCCTCCGATTGCATTGTGGCGCCCCCACAAAACATGAACTGCATAACAGACTGACTTAGTGACAGAAGCTACGAAAAAGAACGAAAAGGTTCATACGGAAGAGTTTTTGTCCATTTTACCCCTTCAAAATTTTAGAAATGTTTCACAAACTATCTACAATGATACATTTCAAGCATATTTCCATCAATGCTCAGAGAAATAATAAAAAATTTTAAAATCTCCTTTTTACGGTAAGTATGACTGATTCTTTTTTAAATTTTTTGATTTTATTTTAAATGTCACATTTTCTTACTTTACTGTTTTCGATCTTATAAAAATTTATCACTGTTTTAAACATTAAAAATTCGAAAATTTTCATAAGTATCCGATAGACGGCACTAGTTGTCCGTCTGTTAAGCTAAGGTGTACAGGTGGTTCTCGAGAATAAATGGACGACAGGTGGAATGATTTTCAGTCTTATAAATAATTTTTTTTCTTCATAACTTATTAAAGAGCCTTTCAAATTGTAATTCGTTTGTTTATTTTTTCTTGAGCTTTTTAGTGAAATAAACAACGTTTTTGCTAAACTAACCGATTTGTGCCGTATTTACAGCTCTGTTTCTTTTTTAAAAAATGATAAATAATGGCCACACAATTGTTTTATTATTAGCATTTATAAGGGAGGAATAAAATATTCTTACCCATCCTAATATTATAATGATATAGGTATCGAGCTTAAATCGTCTAAAGTTGTGACCTTTTCAAAATAAAATGGTAGCTAACATAAGAAAATATCCACTTAGTTTAAACGCCAATACCTCTTTTCAAGTCATTAAAAATATTGCAAAGTTTGGATTAAATTTATCTTCTAATATAAATTATTTTGTTTATTGTCAATAAAAATTCATTAATACGTTTAATTCATTTATATGTTTTTAATTCAAATAATTTAAAACTGAATTGGATTTTTTCCAGGACACTGCAAAAAATAATGACGATAACGAAAGAAAAAAAATGAAAGAAATAAAAATTAACCAATCCATTGTTCAGGGACAGATGTAATAGTTACTAGTTTAAAATTAAACAAGTAAAAGCTGATATAGTACGAGAAAGTTAAATTTTTCTCATTTACTATTTTTATATTCTTTATTTTAGTTTTAAGCAGAATTTTAATATAACTTTTTATATTTAAATGAAATTTATGTCAACTTTATTTTCCTAGAGGAAAAAGAGACATTTATATCTGTGTACTCATTATTTTTATTTTACTGCACATTCCATTGAAAAAAATAATAATATAGATTGAATAGTTGCCTACAGAATTATTTGTGTTTCTGATTACTTTTACAAATATTTTTTTTAAAATAAATATTAGGTTCTCCGTTAAGATTTTTCTCAACTAGTGAAACTATATACATTTATTTCATTATAAATTCATATTTGGGTGATTCTTTGAAAATATGACAATTCGGAACAAAAAATTTCTTCAAATTTAAAGTCTTCAAAATAATCTAATTTTTTTGTATATTTATTTAGTTACATTTATTAATAACTTACAGACAGCAGTGTAGTTTATTGACATTTGCTAAAAAAAAAAAAAAAAAAAAAAAAAAAAAAAAAAAAAAAAAAAAAAAAANTAAAAAAAAAAAAAAAGAAAAAGAAAAAAAATAGAAATTCATGACATTTTGAATGCCAGGAAAATTACATATTAGCTTAGAAGTTAAAAAAACAGTCATTTTAAGCTAATAGTAAATAACTCAACTTAAGCCTTTGAGTTAGATGGATCATGAATTGCTTAAATTAATTCCTTTATCCACTGTAGAAAAAATCAAAAATGTTTTTGTTGCTGATATGTTCAGTATAAAATTGTGTATAATAATCAATCATTAAATTAAAAAAAATTAACTTTGATTACATTCAAGCATATTACAATCTTACATAAACTTGGTATTAGGTTAATATTTGCTTTCTCTCTTTATATTCAACTGTTTAAAAAATTTTCTGGTAACTGTTTCAATGTCCTGGCATTCATAAGCCAGGAAAATGACAGCCAGGATAATGACAATTTGCCATTATATAGCATTTAACTTTAATTTAACATTTCGATCTAAGATGTTTACATTCCGCAGAAAGCAACAGGATTTCTTGAAATAACTCAGGTAAATCTATGTAGTTTATGTTTTTAATGATTTCAAGAAGACAGGAAAATGACAACATAAAAACCAACTCACCTTGAAAAATTTTGTGAAATAGGTTTAGAACCAGAAAGTTGGTACTTTATTCATGCAATAAGACATGTTCAGATAGGATGGTATTCTAATCAATTTATTAACATAAGATATTGATTGCTGGCGCTATCTATTTTGGTTATTAATCACTAAATAAAAGTAGCCAGGAAAATGACAGATTTTCTCGTGACAAACAAATTATTGACAGAAAAATTTTTTTTCAGCAAAGTTTTTGTGAATAATACCCTCTGCATATATTTTAGAAATGCTTACAACGGTTGAGATAAAAAAAAAATTAGATATTGAAAAATTTATGGGATGTTTTGAATTAGTTATTATTGGAAATATTGTTTGTGACATACCAGGAAAATGACATTTTGAAATTCAATAAAGTTTTTTAAATATACTAAGTAGCCAATGCCCCAAGGTCATTTTAAAATACTAACAGCAATGCTATTTATTAAATTTTTTTAAAAAAAAAGTTCTTTTAGTAGTATAGTATTAGATCTTAAAGCAAGAGACTGTAAATTGTCATATTTCGTGAGAATCACCCATTTAATATACATGTAAATTCATATTTTTAATACATATTTATACTCATTTCTTCATATTAACAATATTTGGTTTGATATTTGTAAATACCTGAAAATTTTAATTGTATTTATAAAATATTATCATATTTTTACAGTTCTCAATATGATTTTAAAATCAAGTTCTACTGTACTCTTACATATTACGATTTTAGATCTAATGAAATATATTAGGAATTAATTAAACTGTATTTCAGTTATAAGTTATTTAAATAAAGCTTTATATTTGATATATTTTTTATAAACGATGTTTTTTTTCCATTTTTTTTCACTGGAGTTGTAAGAAAAGGAAGCAATTTCCATGGTTTTTTCTGAGTTTTTATTCTCACTTGTGGTTAATCAACTCATTTCTATTTTGAACCCTCTAAAATTTTAAAAGTAAAATGCATTTCAGAGAATGCTTACTTTCTTTTTAAGCTGTATATTTTCGAACCTATAGTTTTTTAAAGTAAAATACAGTAAAATCTCGATATAACGACATATTACTTCCGCTATTACCACAAATGTTCAAGTTAATGTCAAAATTCTGATTTCTAAAATTAGAGATACAAAATTTGTATGTTTAAAACGAGTTGAAAATTATTTATAACGAGTATGTCTATAGCAAGCCTTCCTCTACTACGACAAATTTTTTTTAGGAAAATACATTTTTCTGCTCTTTAAAGGAGCAATATTATATATATAAAAAAAATTTAAATTGAAAACATTTTTATTTTTCTTCTGACATTAATACGAAAAAGGGAAAATCAAACACCGTTTCCTCCGGACAATTTTAACCCCATATTTTTATAAAGCAATGTGTAGAGGACAAGCGGCTAAGTTATATTCTTCTAAACAATATTCTTTTTCTATTTTTAGAAATTCTGCCGAGCATTTAAAAAAAATTTTGAACCCCTTATTTTTCTACTTAACAACTTATTATTAAAATCAACATTCACTGTTATTAATGACGTCAAAAGGTATTGCACTTCATTTCATCTTGCAATATATTGTTCCTATTGCAGATAATTAATATTGTTTATTATGCAGCACCTAAACAAAAAGTGCAATTAAACCCTTTAGAAGGATTGAGATCCTCTTGATTGGTAAAGAAAACATTGCTTTTTATAAAGTACAGCTACATAATACAATTACTCTAGATGCGTATTTTAAACCAAAGCTTCATTTTTTAATCTTCTTCTTATTGCTATTTATTTTTATGTCATTTGTTAATAACGATAAGCTGCCTAAAACAACTATTTCATCTGCTATTACGTATTATCGTTATAATGGACTAATATTGTTATTCGAATTTTCATTCGGATCGATTACGTAGTGCGCATCAAAGTATTTTTCATTCCTTCCTCTTCCTTTTTTAAGAAGTCTACCTGTAGCATTCTAATTTATAACACGGTAAATAATAATTTAAAAAAATTGTACTTTAGTTTTATTACATAAAATTAAGTTTTACCTCTCATTGTTAGTTAATTTCAATGCACACCCCATTGTTTATTTATTTACTTATTCTTTTTTTTTAAATTCGACTTGACAAAGAGATTTGTTTTTGGAAAAATAACGTATACAAATAACTCTGAAAACAACATCAGAATTTGAAACAATAAAATTTCTAATTGAAATTTTAATTCGGTGCCTTAAAGTTTTGGGACAATGCAAATTTTAATTTTTTGTCAAATTTGCTATAATTTAACGTTTTCAAAATTTCTTTTTCTGTTATAAATTTTTGAGTATTTTAAAAACCTTTTCTAATATTTTCGTCTGCACGATAAAACTTACAATTTTGGGACCATTTGGGACCAGAACAATTAAAAAGAAACCCTGGAGGTTCTAATCTCAGTATTTTAGATTTTTTCCGGACAATAGAAAACCCGATTTTTGGCATTAGCAATTTTTGAAAGGTACAATGCTGCTGAATGATAGTCTTTCATTTTCGAAATTTTTTGAAAGATATAGCGGCGTTGAATTAGTCATTCATTTCCATCATTTTTTGGGTTACAAGGTTGTCGCAGAAAAAAAGACCGAATTTTGCCAAAAATCTTACTAGAAAACTTCGTGAAAACACAAGTAAAAAAATAAATGCAATCTGTAGTTTATAAAAGTATATTAGAATATTAGTGCAATCGAAGGAAAATTAGGTAAACAATATCGTACATTATTAAATTATTCTCATCAAACTATTAGTTTGCTGATATTTCTTTGCCCAGTAAAATAAAAAATAGTATTTAAATGAATTCTCTGAGAAAAAATTCCATTCTTATTGCTACTCAAGTAGTGATTATTTATATTTGTTTAATTCTTATTGATATTTATGTCATATATATAGATTAAGTTTTTTTCCGCATTATATGGATTTTAGTGTCTCATTAATCAAAAAATAGATATTAATTTTTGTAATTACTATAAACTAATATGCATAATAGTTAGTTTTGAACTCTATGAAAAAAGAAAGGGCACTGATTGATTGTATCTGACTTTATTGACCAACTACTAGCTGCTTCAGGAGGTTTCTTTTGGAGGACGCCATACCACGCAAGATCTCCAATTCATTTCTAATTTAAAATTTTAAACAAGCCTAGAGAAAGTTTCAATTATTTCATTAGAAGAGAACTTCTCCGTTGCGTAATCCTAATCTCATAATTTTCATTTGTGTATTATTAAGAGACTTACTCTAGGTTTGTTTGAACTCTACACTTTAAATAAATTTTAAATTAGTAATGAAGGAGAATTTGTCGTGAAAATTTTCTCTCCTCTTAAGGGATTGGAGTGCCTTCTTGTTTTTAACATTATTGTTAAAAAGCATTTATTTTTACGAAAGTAATTTAATAAGAAAGACTTGACAATTATTGTTATTGGAATGTAAGCCAAGAGAATGTGACGCAAAGTTTAACCCCGCTATAATAAATACTCTGTTGTTGTGAACATTTTAAGTGGTTCGTCAAAATAATTATTTAACTAATTTTATTCCATACTCTTATGGATGATGATTTAAATACAAATAAAAGCAAAAATAAATTTTGAGATCCTTACCTTCATGAATAGAAAGTTTACAGCTGCTTAGTGTGCGTAGCGATATTTTCAAACACATAATTTTGTTTTCAATAATAGAACTAAATAATATAATTTCTGAATTCAAATCTGTTGCATTTTATAAAATTTTAATGATATCAAGCAATTTTGGTGAAGTGAAAATCTATTTTAGTTATTTATAGATATAGTGTTAGAAAAGACGACATGATATATTTAGAAAGAACTCGCTTTTTTGGCAGTTCTGATTTAACTTCGACTTATTTCTATTAGTTATTCTTGCAAGCCTTTACTTATTTGTTGCTGTTGCTGCTGTTAATTTACATCGCACTAGAGCTGCACAATGGGCTATTGGCGACAGTTTGGGAAACATCCCGGAGGATGATCCGAAGACATGCCATCACAATTTTGATCCTCTGCTGTGGGGATGGCACCCCCGCTTCGGTAGCCCAACGACCTGCGCGCGAAGTCGAGCACTTTACGGTAGCACAGTTTAACGAGGACCACCAATACCGCACACCCTCGGTCCCTTTGCAGACTGATCAAAGTGGTCACCCACCCGCACACTGTGATGCTTGACTTCGGTGTTCTATTGTGATCGTGTCTTGACGATCAGTCCACTGCGGGACCTTTTACTTAAGTATATAAAACTGCAACGTATATAAAACTGCAACTGCACCTGCACACTGACCGTAGCCAGTGATGCTTGACTTCGGTGATCTGCTGGGAACCGTGTCTAAACGATCAGTCCACTGCGGGACTACTTATTTCTATTTGTTCTTTTTTACAACGTGCATACGTTAGTGTTTGTATTTAGTTAGAGTAGCGAGACAAAGTTTATTTTGTAAATAAAATTTAACAGTTAGTATATTGTTGACAAGGTAATAGGTGTTTAATAGCGATTTTTATTCTAATATTAATTTTAAGTTTTTGTTACTTCTTAAATCACATGCTTACTATCTTTTCACTTACTATACTTTCACTCTATCTGTCCGGTCCCGTGATAGCTCAATAGTTAAAATTGAAGGTAATGCGGACTGTATAATAATAATTAAATATTTATTTAACAAATTATTTGATTAGTTCACACATGAACTTACATTAGAGAGCGACCATACGCTCTTAACAATTCAATCAACAAGAACAAGAGTGAATAGATCAAAGGGTTACATTATGATGAAAGATGGCTGGCGCAATACAATCTCGCCAAACGGTAATTCAACACCAAACATAACCGCCGGGGTTGAAATATTAATTTCAAAAAATAATAATCAAATTTAAATTAATAAAATGCACAAATAGTTATAAAAACACACCAAATAAACAAAGTTTCAGTTTTCCAAATACTAATTATACAACATTAATTCTCAATAGGTAAGACAGCAATTTTTGAAATTGCTCTTTTATAAACACCATTTTCTGTTTTTACTGAAACAACTCTTACACGGTTAACTTTTCCACAAAATATTTCATTTATTCTACCTAATAGCCATTTACATGTAAGGGTTTTCTTCCTTGAGTACTACCATATCTACTATTTTAACATTTTGTTTTGTAAACATCCATTTGTTTCTCTGTATCAATGTGCTCAGATAATTATTAGTCAACTTTTTCCATATATTTTGAACCATTTGAGTAGTTTTTTGTCATAAATTAAGTCTATTATTATCTATATCTAATAAGTTAGGCTCAATAATTGCATTTATTGGTCGGCCTATAAGAAAATGACGAGGAGTTAACACATTTAAGTCATCAATGTTAGAAGTTAATGGTGTTAGGGGGCGAGAATTTAAAATTCCCTCAACCTGAGTAAAAATGGTTAAAAATTCTTCGTAAGTTAATGTCGCATTTCCAATTGTTCGCTTTAAATGAAATTTTAAGGATTTTACTCCTGCTTCCGATAGACCATTAAAATTTGGTGCTCTAGGCGGAATAAATTTCCATTGTACATTTTCTTCTGCTAGAAAATTGGCTAAAATGTTGTTATGTTTAATAAAAATATCCATTAATTGTTTAATTTCGGAATTTGCACTTACGAAATTTTTAGCGTTATCATTAAATATTTTTTGTGGTTTGCCTCGTCGGGCAAAAAACCTCTTTAAGCAAGCAATACATGCTTCTGCGGTTAAATCGTTAACTATCGCCAGATGGATTGCTTTCGTTGCTGTTCAGACAAAAATACAAACGTATATTTTGTGATAGTTGCCTTTACGTTGGCCTTTGTATCTAATCAAAAATGGGCCACAATAATCAATAGAACAACAATTAAATGTAAAATTAACATTTATTCTTTCACTTGGTAACTCACCCATTATTTGTTGAGAAATTAACGGATTTGCTTTAAAACAAATAATGCATTTGTGAACAATTTTTCTAGGCTACATTTCTGCCATTAAGTGGCCAATAAATTTGTCTAACAGCATTTAGCAACTCTTGCGGACCATTATGAAAGTTCTTAATATGATAATAATTAAAAATAAGTTCAGTTATCTTATTCTTTAGCTGGCAAAATAATAGGATGCTTTTGATTAAAACTTAAGTTTGAGTTTGTTATTCTACCGCCAACTCGAATTAAACCTTTTTCATCTAAAAATGGATTGAAATATTTTAACTTACTTTTTGGAGTCAGTGGCAAACCTTTTTTCAGCATACAAATTTCTTCTGAAATATACCTACTTTGTATAAGTTTAAGAAGATGATTTCTAGCGTTTTCCATTTCATCTATGGTTATAGTACCTGTTTCCTTATTAAGTGGATTCCTACAATTGTAAGAGAACCTAAAAAGTAAACTAAAAATTCTTATCAGTTTTAGAAAATCATTTGTAACACTTAGGCATTTGTCAATAAATGAGTCATTTTTTATAGTCATTAATGAAGTCGCTATTGGTTTCAGTTCGGTAGAAAAGAGTTCATCATTGAAGTGAGTTTCAACTTGAAAATTTTCCTTATTTATGAAATTGGGACCAGCCCACCACAATTTATTGGATCCAAGGGTTGTAGCGTCTGAGCCTCTGGAAATGATATCTGCAGGGTTCATTTCTGAAGATACGTGTCCCCAATTACAATTAGACGTAAGTTGTTGAGTTTGTGAGACTCTATTACTCACAAATGTTTTTAAAAGGTGAGGCGAAGTTTTAATCCACGCTAACGCAATAGTTGATTCTGACCAGAGTTTGATATGATTAAATTAAACTTCATAGCCCCTACAACCTTTTTCACAAGTTTTGAAAGGAGTAGACATGCAGACAGTTCCAATCTGGAATAGTCATAGTCTTGATTGGTGCTACACGTGACTTGCTGCGAAGAAGCTGGCTGATAGATTCATCAGGATCTGCAACTGTCTGTAAGTAAATTACAGCTCCAAATGCTTTTTCTGAGGCATCTGCAAAACCATGCAGAATAAGTGCGGAAAATGTCTCCTTCAAAACGTAACGAGGTACTTGAATAGTTTCTATACTATGAAGTGTTTTAATGAACAAAGTCCATTCTTGGGCAATAGGGGATGGTAACTTTTCGTTCCAGTCTAGCTTATGCAACCAAAGCCGTTGCATAAAAATCTTCGCTTTACTGAAGACTGGACCAAGTAGACCAAGAGGATCATACAAACGAGCAATTTGAGATGAAACATCTCTCTTAGTAACATCTGATTTTTCCGTAATTGCAACTTTGTAGAGCAATGTATCCCTTTTGTTATTCCATAGATCCCTAAAGTTTCACTGTTGCATTACTGTCACGATCAAACGAAAAGTCTCCCAATTCTGTGTCTTGTGAATCAAAGTTAGTACACCATTTGTGTAATTTCATTCCTCCTCTTTTAAGTAGTTCTGTTAAATCTTGCTGAAGCTTAATACATTCATTTAAAATAGAAGTAACGGTAAGGCAATCATCCATATAAAATTCTTCTAAAACAACTTTCGAAGCCAAAGGAAAATCCTTCTCTTCATCTTTTGCTAATTGTTGAAGAGTCTTCTGAGCCAAGTAAGGAGCACATGCTGTGCCATATGTTACGGTTTTAAGTCTGTAGGATTCAGTAGGTTTACTTTCGTGATTTTTCCAGAGTATTTTTAGAAATTTGGTTTGTGAAGGCAGTATTTCAATTTGTCTAAACATTTTCTCAATATCTGCGGTGAAGGCATAGATATGTTTTCTGAATCGAAGCATAATAGAGAACAGTTCATCTTGTATCACTCCTCCCTTGCATAACAAATCATTCAAGGAACAGTCATTTGCAGTTTTGGCGCTTGCATCAAACACTACTCTAAGTTTAGTAGTTTTGCTATCTGGTTTTAAGACACCATGATGAGGAAGGAAATATCCATAACTGTCATCAAAATCAGAATTGTCTGCTATCCTTTCCATATGGTTCAAAAGTTCATATTCCTTTAAAAACGAAACATACAATTCTTTCATTGCAGGATTACTTGACAAACGTTTCCATAATTGATTAAGTCTTTTTTCAGCAATTTGTTTTGAATCTCCCAACGGTATGTTGTTTTCACTAATATCCTTCCTAAATGGCATCTGAACTACATATTTCCCATTAGTTTTTCGATAAAACGAGTTTTCAAAAAGTTCGTTGCAATAATTTAATTCTGAACTGACGGGAGTTTTTGTTTCGTTTACATCTTCATTTTCCCAAAAGGAAGTTAACGCCTTATCAAGATTTTCGGTTTCAACAAGTAAAAAACACGAATCGTTAATTTTCTCTAAATTAGAATTTAAGTTGTTCGCAACTCCCGATACAACATGACCAAAAAACGTTTCAATTAATATTAATTGGGAATCTTTAATTTTAATTTTATTCGTACCCAATAGTTCGAAGAATAATTCTGCTCCTAAAAGAGCATCAATTCGTTTTGGTTTATTCCAATTATTATCGGCAAGTTTTATTTTTTCAGATAAACTTAAATTCGATATGTTTACAAATGTGGGTGGAAGAACCGCAATTTTTGGAACTATTAACAAGTCTAAATAATAAGATTTATTATTTTCTTCATTTGTTAACTCGGTACGAACAAATGATTTAGCTGTAATGCACGAGTCATTAACACCAGAAATCGGAACATTTGTTTTTTGTTTCTTTAAACCCAATAAATTAGCAGCTCTACTGCTTATTAAATT